CGGCGCGGGCTGGGCGGGCGCCCCCGCGGCTCTGCTGCGCTCGGTGCGCCGCCTGCGCGAAGTGTTCGAGGTGTGCGGCCGCGATCCCGACGGCTTTCTGCGCGTAGAGCGCGTCGCGGCGCTCGGACTGCGCTTCGGCCAGGGCGAGGAGGTAAGGGGGCCGCAGCGGCGAGAGGGGGCAGCGAGTCCCGGGGTCCCGGGGAGCCTCCGTTTCCCCCTGCCCAGGCCCCTTGGGGGCGCCTCCTCCCACGCCGGGGCTCGCCACCAACCACCAGTCCTCATCTCCCCACCTTCAGCTTCTTAGCCTTTTCACCTGCTGGGGCAAACCCCAGACGGTGGTGGCCTTCTTCCTGGGAGAAATCCTTCCTCCCGCCGCCCTCTCGGACTGCCTGTGACAACCCGAGCTGACGGCCTCGGACCCCGGGATATCATCCCCTGCTTTGTCGGACCCCAGCTTTCCACCATTAACGCCTGTGTTGCGGGTGTCACATGTCACGCCCAGGATGGCCTCCCCGTTCACCGCCCTCCCTGGCAGCGCTGGCTCCCTCTGACCGATCTACAAACCCTTTCAATGTTGGGGGCGGAGTAGCTGCCAGAATCTGACCTCAGGACCCCTCCCCCATTCCTACACTGCAGAGGCCTAGACGCAGAGGTCTGGAATTCCAGAGCTGGGTGAAGAGGTGCACGCCCCACTGCCCTAGCCTAAGGGTACACGGGTCAAAGACCTTGGCACTTTGGCTGCACCCCACCACCACCGCTGAAACACAGGAGAGGTCTACTTGGGGCTATCCTGGATTCTTGGCCAATGCCTTGTTGTTGTTGTTGTTGTTATGTGCCCTCGAGCTGGACCCAACTCATAGCGACCCCTCCTGGGGTTTCCCAGGCAGTATCACTAGGGAAGTAGATTGCCCCATCTTCCTTCGGATGGCCAATGCCTGGTGAACCTCTATTCAAGATCTGATGGGCAGACCCGACTGGCAGCTGGCCATGTTGTCTGCAGCAGGGCAGCCAGAGTCAAGCTTGTGGAAGGGGAGCAGAACTGAGTGTCCCCCATGGGTGGGGCCAGGTCTTTTGGGAGAAAGCAGTCATGGTGTTGACTGTTGCAAGGCTGCAGTCATGGCCAGTGGGGGTGGGCAGAGCAACATCAATAAATGCCCCAGCAGACCAGTGTCTGCAGAACTGCCTAAAGCCTTGGGCCCTGTATGGGGAACCTGGGGCCACTGACCTCAGATGAGTTCTGTCTGGCACCATGTTCCCAGGACAGTTTGAGCCTGCTATGAGAAAAGCTCATGAGAGAAGCTGGGAATGGCCAGGTTGGGCCTGTGCTTCCCTGTCACCTGGTACTTGGGAGGTGATGGGCAATCACATCTCCACTGACACCTGGGCATGGACCTGGGCGTGCCTGAGAGCAGAGGGTGGAAGGGAATGAGGTAGGCGTCAGGTGTGAGAACTCAGGCACCTCGCCCAGGAAGCTCATAATGCAATTCCCGTCAGAGCCCACCAAGCTTCTTCCAGAGGCCATGGCCCACCCTCCTCCACTTCACGACTTTGCTCATGGGCCTTTCCTGCAGCCGCCGTGATTTCTCTCCTTCTCTCAAGGCCAGCCACACTCCTCCCTGCTCTTCAACAGTGACCTCTGGCTAAGAAAGTCTCAGCAGCCCCCAAGCCTGCAGATCAGGACACAGACCACCAGACCTCAGCCAACGTGCACCCAACAAGCCTTATCACCTGATCCCAAGGCTCCTGTTACACCATTGTCCCTCATAGACACTATAGCCCAAACCTGCTCGTCACTTAGTCATCCCAGTTCTGTACAGGGACTCATGTGGTTCTCTCTTCTATGTGGCAGCCTTTGAATATTTGAAAACGACGCTTCTGTCCCCTTCACTCTTTCCCACCCGCTCATTCCCATCTACCCTAAAGCGGGGGAGAAACAGTTGACATTAAGTTGATTCCAACTCATGGCTACCCTGTGGGTATAGAGTAGAAGTGTGCTTTTTAGGGTTTTCAAAGCTGTAACCTTTCAGAAGCAGATTGGTAGGCTTTTCTTCTGAGGTGACTCTGGGTAGATTTGAACCACCAACCTTTCAGCTAATAGCACTCAACTGTCTGTGTCACTCACGGGCTCCTCCATCTTTCCTATTCCAGGCCAAGTTTCCCTAGTTCCTGAAGCCCCAGGCTGTTTCCATACCACCTGCGGAGGCCAAACTGCTGGCTTCTGGCCCTGGATTTGCCATTAACTAATTGTGACTCAGTTTTCATAGTGATATCATGAGGGGGCTAGACCAGGAGACCCCACCACCACTACCATGAAGGATTGTTCCAGCACCGACACCTGACATGGAACCGTGGGGCTCAGGGTGTGGCTGCCTTTGGGCAGATGTATGCTGCATCACACACTCTGCTCATGTTAAGTTACTGGGCACTGAAACCCCCTGGGATCTCTCTCCGGAACCAGTGCCAAGCCAGAGGTGCCCACCCTGAGGCAGGTCTCTGATTTCTTTCTTTTTAAAGCATGGTCATATATTATTAGAGCAGTGGTTTATATGCATTGTAGGCATGATAAACTGTGGACAAGCAAAACTAAGAGTATTGCATTCCTGTCTCCTGGGGAACAGTGGTGTGACACCCTAGTCACAGCCTTGCAGAGCTATTTCTATGCACATATGGAGGTTTTCTTCATAAAATGAAATCATACCATGCATACTGTTTTGTAACCTAATTTTTTTTCAGTACACTAGCTCCACTTTTCTGCTTCAGTAAATTTTCATGTTATTTAAATACACAGATCTTATTCGGATTTCTGCAAAAACAAACCAAACCCACTGCCATCGAGTAGATTCTGACTCACAGTAATCCTATAGGACAGAGTACACTTGCCCCGTAGGGTTTCCCAGGCTATAAATCTTTACAGAAGCCGACTGCCTCATCTTTCTCACATGGAGTGGCTGGTGGGTTCGAACCACGACCTTTTGGTTAGACTGAATGTCTTAACGCTGCGCCACCAGAGTGCCTCTAGATTTCTGCCTTTGACCCCACCATGACCATTTTCCCTGTTTTGTTTAGAGCACTTTCCTCTCCACGACTGTGCTACGAGTGCATCCAGCTGCTGTGACCCTTAGGTCTCTCTGTTGTTGTTGTTGTTGTTGTTATGTGCCATCGAGTTGGACCCAACTCATAGCGACCCCTCCCTGGGTTTCCGAGGCAGTATCACTACGGAAGTAGATTGCCCTATCTTCCTTCCGAGGAGTGGCTGGTGGGTTTGAGCCACCAGTCTTCTGGTTAACAGTCAAGTGCCTTAGGCACTATGCTACCAGAGGTCCTTAGGTCTCTCTTACTCTAGTGCAATTTGTATTGTTCTTTTTGCTGTTAATCTCGTTGATGAGATCAGGCCCCTTGTCCTGCATCTATAATTCTTGATCTGAGTCTGTTACTGGACCCTTGTCCCTATTAAATTCCATCTTTCCCATTTCCTCCCACCACATCTGTCAATGGAGAGAATTTCAAGTTCTGCTTCTGTCGCTCTCAGATGCTGTGCTACCTGCGAGTTGGAGAAGCAAGAGCTTTGTTTCCATTCACAACGCTGATTAAAAACGTAGGGCAGGACCACGGACAGGGCCTGGGTGCTAGTCTGGGATGACTCTGCTCTCAAGGCTTAGAGATGCATTTCACTGCCCAAGCTCACATAGTCATTGCAAGCAGACATGTCATGAAGTCAGGCTCGCTCACAGTATGCTATGCACCCTGACAGTTTCTCTTTCATTTGTTTAAAAGTCAGGTGGCAACATTGATTTCCCAGCCCACTGGTGCTCTGGGGTGGATAATTGTCATTCATTAGATATGGGACTCAGTGAACTGCTCACAGCTGATAACCTACATTTTACCAACTGCTCCCAGGATACCAGGAATATCAGGATCAAATGCTTTGCAAAAATCAAAATATAGTAGGTTGAGCTTTGGGGTTTTTTTTTTTTTTTTTTGAAAGTATAAAATAAATAAGAGTGATATAAATAAATGACTGAATAGAATAGATCAATCTCTAGTACAGAGTAATTCCAAATAATTTATGTAGATACTTCCCTCTCTGATGGGAAGCATAACTCTCTCTCCCTTAAGAATGAGATGTACATAGCGGCTTTCTTCTAAAGAGAGAAAAGAGTGACTTTATAGTGGAGACACCTGACAGAACTACCTCAGCCAGGTGATCAAGGTCAGCGTCAAGTGATAGATCATGTTGATTGCATGTATCCTTCCTATGATGTGATGAGAATGGCACTTTTCCTCTGTGGACTTTCCAAAAAACAAACAAACAAACCCGTAACCCCAATCTAATCACTAGAAAAAACACCAGAGAAATTCCAGCAGAGAGACATTCTACAGTATTCCCAACCAAAAACGAAGATCAAACCCACTGCCATCAAGTCGATTCCAACTCATGGCGACCCCCATTGGTTCTCCAAGGCAGTAAATCTTTGTAGAAGTAGATTGCCCTGTCTTCATTCCATGGCAGTGGGTTTGGTTTGGTTTTCATTCCACAGAGTGCTGGTGGGTTTGAACTGCCAACCTTTTGGTTAGCAATCAAATGCCTCAGGCACTATGCCACCAGAGCTCCTTATGTTCCTGACCAGTGCTCCTCAAAACCGCGAAAGTCATTAAAAACAAGCGAAGTCTGAGAAACTGTCAGGGCTAAGAGGTGCTGAAGGAGCCAGGACAACTGCATGTAATGTGGTCTTCTGGGTGGGATCCAGGACATTAGGTGAAAACACAGGAATTCTTAATAAAGTGTGGAGTTTAGTTAATAGTAATTGTATGCATATATTAGGTTGGTCTCTGATAGTCGCCTGCTTTGTTGACGTAAATTCATAATAGAAAAGAGAAGACAGTGAAATGTGATGGGAACATGAATACCTGTAGTGTCTTGGCTGTGGTTCACTTTCATTTTCCTGACCGCTGGTTAGTTGTGTTCGAGCTGATCCCCACTCACGTGAGCCCGTGTGTGCAGCGGAGAATTGCTCCCCAGGGTTTTCAAGGTTGTGACCCTTTGGAAGCAGATGGCCAGGCCTGTCTTCCAAGGCACCTTTGGTTGCATTCGAACCACCAATTTTTCACCTACTAGCTGAGCACGTAACCATTTGTGACGCCCAGGGATTT